ATAGGGGAAATTTAAATGCAGACCAACTTTTTTTAAAAGAAGAAGCCAGAGTCACACTATCAAAAGGTGTTTGCTTTAGACACAATGTCCGCAACACAACACATTAAAATCCTATGCACACTCAGTACCAGTTAATGCACAGCTATTTGAATCTAGAGCTGGAAAACGGCTATAATTCTGCTAGGGTATTCAATGAGCCCTCCTCAAATATGTTATATGTTTAATAGTTCCTCCAGGTGACCTGTTTATTGAGCATGTATTTTGTTTTACTTGCACAAATATTACATGGGAGTTAGATTATGTCCAGTCTTTATTGAATGCTTGTTCTGATTTTGTTTATGGGGTTTTTACTTGCCTTCCTGCTAATATTTCACCTACCCAATGTTTTTCAGTTCACTTCCCTGTTAGTCTCAAAACCACAAAAAGTAAAATTTTTTGAGTGGATTCATTGAACTAGGGCAAAAGAGTGCTTTGATCCACATTAATTGTGCAAACCTAACATTCTGTTTGGACACGGGTGGCGCTGTGGGTTAAACCACAGAGCCTAGGACTTGCCGATCCGAAGGTCAGCAGTTCGAATCCCCACGACTGGGTGAGCTCCCGTTGCTTAGTCCTGGCTCCTGCCAACCTAGCAGTTCGAAAGCACGTCAAAAGTGCAAGTAGATAAACAGGTACCGCTCCGGCGGGAAGGTAAACACTGTTTCCGTGTGCTCCTCTGGTTTGCCAGAAGTGGCTTAGTCATGCTGGCCACATGACCTGGAAGCTGTATGCTGGCTCCCTCGGCCAGTAAAGCGAGATGAGCACCGCAACCCCAGAGTCGGTCACGACTGGACCTAATGGTCAGGGGTCCCTTTACCTTTAACATTCTGTTATGGTTCTGTTGGCATTGCGGGGTCCCATTGCCCTTACAAATGATAGATCAGCCACATCTGTTAATCTATATCAGCATTCACCAACCTGGTGCCTCCAGAACTTTTGGACTACAACCCACATCAACTGCAGCTAATGACCAGGGATGGCGGGAATTGTAGTTCTAAACATCTGGAGGGCATTAAGCAGGAGAAAGTTGGTCTTCAGAACTCCAGAACGTGCTCAGATAGGAGTGGAGAGTCAGGAAACCCAGGTGTACCACATCAGTGGCAGAAGATGTCAGGAAGGGTGATCAACCTGTCAGATGTTCAATGGCCCAGTTGGCTATCAGTGGCCCTTAACTCTTTCTCAAGCCTCACTCCTAGCTTGCTTTCTTTAGTGTAGAGAGGAGGAACCTGCTGGTCATCAGACAGTGGTGGTTGGTGGACCCTGGACCTGGCAGGACCAGGGAGAACATACAGGTATGGCCAAGTTGTTTTGGTTTTCTCCTCAACCTCTTCTACTGCAAAGGCACTGACTGCAGTTGTACCAATACCTAGCTAAACCGAAACGTATCTCATTGGTTCAGAAGTGTCCCTGCTTGTCACAGTTGTTTCTCTGCTGGGAGAAACATTGTGTGGTCTCCACCTGTTCTGCTTCTGTCCTTTTCTTATGTAAAGACTTAAATGTTGCTGATTTCTAGTGTAGGGTTCAATAATACTCAGAAGGAAGCCCCAATGAATTCTAAGGGAACTGCTTCTTTTAAAGTAAGTTTTTCAGATTAAAATTTTACAGTCACATATCGAACCTATAAAATAAAACAAGATTCCAAGGAATCTCATGGATTTCCCTTCTCCCCTTTGTGGGTCCTATTGTTAATCATGTCCTCCTGCATCTTTTATAATAATCCAAATCTTTTACATCTCCATTGTGTCCAAAATTCACCATTAAGCTACAAGGGATATTCCAAGCCTACTAACGATTTTAACTGTTTAACAACGGTCTTTAAGATAAGTTATAAATTTCCCCCATTCCTTATTAAAATGTTGGTTTTTCTTCCTGATTTCTGACTCTTCCAGTCATTTTAGCCATTTTGGCATAATCCATCATCTTGATCTGCCATACTTCTCTGGTAGGGACTTTATCGTCTTTCCAAGAACAAACAACTTAAAAATCAAAGGGGAAAAAAGAATCTGGGACACAATCAGGATATTCAGGCCTGCAAAAATTAGGTTTTACATGTCCCCTCAGCAAATCCAAAATTTCACTGTCTGTTAGAAGACGTTTGCCTGAATGTGCAGACAAGGTGCAATCTCTGACCTCCTACTATATTATAAATTCTACATACTGAGTTATCATTTAAACCCTGCCCTGCACCACCCTGCTTTTTGTAAAAGCATTTTAAATTTGCCAGAGTGTTTTTATCATAGTGTAATTTTAACAAAAGGAACAAAAATAATAGCTCTAGCACCGTAAATACTAACAAATTTATTACGGCATAAACGTTCTTCCTCATTTCAGTGGAGAACCTCTCAGGGGTCAAAACTGTCTATTTTCTACTGTCTATTGCCACCTATGCAGATCTGACATTGCATGGATGTGTTGACTAATTTATATTCAAAAAGTAATAGTAGAGGACCCCTGACAGTTAAGTCCAGTAGTGAACGACTCTGGGGTTGTGGCGCTCATCTCGCTTTACTGGCCAACGGAGCCGATGTTTGTCCACAGACAGTTTTTCTGGGTCATGTGGCCAGCATGACTAAGCTGCTTCTGGCAAAACCAGAGCAGTGCACGGAAATGCTGTTTACCTTCCCGCTGGAGCGGTACCTATTTATCTACTTGCACTTTGATGTGCTTTTGAACTGCTAGGTTGGCAGGAGCTGGGACCGAGCAATGGGAGCTCACCCCGTCGTGGGGATTCAAACCTCTGAGCTTCCGATCGGCAAGGCCTAGGCTCAGTGGTTTAGACCACAGCATTTATATTATCCCTGCCTAATATTGTGCATATTCTGAAAACGGCCTGGAAAGGTGGATGGAGAATTTTTCTCTATCTCAACCAATAACCCAGGTTTCTGTTGTTCCCGATGGATTGTGCAGAGAATATTATAAAGTGAAGTTGACTAGCCTATGAAAGTTTGGACAGATTTTTCAGAAGCAGGCAAGAATCTCCATAATGTTAATCAGGTTGATTATTAGTCCTGGATGAACAGTTCTGCAACTCTCTTGACAAATACCCGCACTCAAAGCATCAGAGGGGAGGATCTCTCCGTGCCCATAGCAACTCTCTGATCTGTGGAATTAAATAATCACCGAAGGAAAACAATCCATTTTCCATCTATTGAACTTTCTTCAGTGTATGAAAGTTGTCTTTATCCAAATTAATAATCTAGGTTTGCCTTTGCCTGGGATCAGACACTTTGATTACAAAATGAGCTGAAAGGCGGCGCTTGAAAGATGTGCTACGATGCAAAGGCAGACATAGAATCTAATGTACCTACATATGGCAGGCTAAATGTCAGCTCTCTTCACGAGAAGGAGGAATCTCCTGGTCCTGCAACAGCATCGGACAGCACAGCTGATGTTGCACTCATTAGTGTCCTCAATATAGGTGATTGTGCCTGATGCCATAAGCAGCACCTTGCTTGTTAAAGAAATAAGTTTACTATGCATAAATGTAATGTTTGCATGCATTGCGTTTGAAAACTTTTTGCAAAGAGGTAATGCCTTAAGAGAGAATATTATGAAAATGATATACAGGTGGTACATAACCCCAGTCAAGCTCGCAAAAATCTATCATTTGCCCGATAACAAATGTTGGAAATGTAAAGAAACTGAAGGTACATTTTTTCACCTTTGGTGGACGTGCCCAAAGATTAAGGCTTTCTGGGAAATGATATATAATGAATTAAAAAAAAGGTATTTAAGTATACCTTCCCCAAGAAACCAGAGGCCTTTCTCCTGGGCATAGTCGGCCAAATGGTGTTAAAAAAAGGATAGAGCTTTCTTTATGTATGCAACAACAGCAGCAAGAATACTCATCGCAAAGTATTGGAAGACACAAGAACTTCCCACGCTGGAGGAATGGCAGATGAAACTTATGGACTATATGGAATTGGCGGAAATGACTGGTAGAATCCGTGACCAGGGAGAAGAGTCGATGGAGGAAGATTGGAAGAAATTTAAAGACTATCTTCAGAAACACTGTAAAATTAAGGAATGTTAGAGTGATGTTGGACTGAAAATAAGCGGTTTCCAGCTGTACAGGTTAAAGCTAATGATAGACTAAGATTAAAGATTAAGATTAAAGATGTTTAAAGAAATGGAAATTTGATATTAAGAGGGAAAATTTTAACGTCATATGATATTAAGACCAAAGATCAGGTTTAAAGAAGTTGAAGATATATATTTTAATATCTTATTAAAGCTAAGATTGGGATATAAAAAGTGGAAAAGAAACTGCTGGACAAACAATTTGGATTGGAATACAAAAGAGGGAGGTATGAGGAAGTCCAGAAAATAAGTAATTTAAAAATGGAAATGGAAAAGAGATATTGTTTTTAATTGTTATGTTTTTTGTTTTTTTTATTGTTGAATTTTGTTTTGTTTTTTTGTGTGTTGTTGTTATATGTATTGTGTATGTTTTTTTTCTTTCCTTGTTGTTCAAAACTTTAATAAAAATTATTATTATTTTTTTAAAAAAAGAAAACTTTTTGCAAAGAGAAGTTTGCATAAGACACAGGAGGTTTCACTCTGGCAAATGCGGCGAAAAAGGTTAGATGTTGGATTTTTGGAGACCTCATTCATTTCTACTCTGCACAAGGTCCAGACCAGAGATTCCATTGCAGGAACTTTTAACATCACTCCATTGTGTGAGGTCTCTTTTACAAGAGCAACACACAAAGGGCACTATATTATTAACAATTCATTTATATACCAACCAACACAAAAATAGACTTCTAAGTGGTTGACAAGTACAAAAACTATCTTTGTAATATTAACAATCATAATTAAAATACTCAATAAAACAACCCCAGTTGAAATTAAAGACTGAATCTGATGCAGATGTTCCTTTCCAGTGAAAGCAATGACTTCTAGAGTTGGAAGGGACCATCAGGGTCATCTAGTCCAACCCCCTGCAATGCAGGAAACTTTTTTGCCCAACCTGGGCTCAAACTCATGACCCTGAGATCAGGAGTCTCACACTTTATCGACTGAGCTAACTTTCTCTTGCATAATCCCTTTCTAAATCTGTCAAAGCAGCCATCAACAAATCTCTGCCCAAGATCTTGGAGATCTGCTCCCAGTCCGAGTTGACATTTCTAAGCTACATGGATCATAGGCCTGACTCAATATAAGGGAGCTCCTTATAAACAGAAGGAGTGTGTGTGTGTGTGTGTGTGTGTGTGTGTGTGTGTGTATGTGTGTAATACCCCAGAGCTTTCCTGTACAACTCATATAAGATCCAGTACATTGCTCAAAATATGATACAAATTTCTAGCAAGATGTTTGATTTTGCTTTTTCTAAAGAAACCCAAAACATTGCAAATGGTTACTTAGCAATTGACATTTTCATACAAAATTAAGCAATGGAAGCCCAGGGCATAACAAATTGTATTTCAGGTACCATGCAGTTTCATTTACTCAGCGGTATGCGGGTGGCCTATGAGGAAGAATGCTAAGAATAGCAATTTACCTATGAGGTTTAATATCACAAAATCCACCCCACTGCCTTTGTTTGGTTTTCTACTTATGTTTAACATTGCATAAGAGAATTTGATGGCGAAAGGGAAAGGGGAAAAGACGCTTCCATAAAATGTTCAGAAGGCTTGATGCAAGCTTAAAACATTTGGCTCCTGAGCTAGCTCATCTCTTGCAGATGTGGCACAGAAGTCACGGCCTTGGCTGGAGAGGAACATCTTCATCTGCATCACACACACACAAACTCATTCATTCCTTCCATTCCTTTCAACAAGGACCTAATGAGCACTTTAATATACACCTGTATCCAGCTGCAAATCTTTGGCATGACTGCAGTTGGAATACCGCATCCTGTTCTGGTCCTCACCTCTCGAAAAAGATGCTGTAGAGCTGGGAAAAGTGCAATCAAAATGATCAAGGGACCAGAGCTTTTTAGTTTAGGACAGAGGTTTTCAACCTTTTTGAGTCCACAGCTCCCTTGACCAACTGCATTCTTTCTGCGGCACCCCTGTGGGGCCCAGGAGCCCAGTTATGTCACCCCTTGCCTGACAGAGCTGGCAGCCTCTCACCCTTTCTTGAACACCCTCCCTTGTGGAGTGTTCCCTCAGCCTCCTCCCCCCTCTCCCCAGGAGTCCTCCAGGCAGTCACTGCCACCGTCCCTGGTCTTCCCCACCCCAAAGAGAGGTGCCTCCTCACACTGCCCCACAGGGGCCTGGGACTTGTCTGTCCATTCCCAACAGCAGGGGCTGGCGGACTGGCTGGTTGGGCTCCCTTGCCCGCTTGCTTGCTTACCCTGAGGCCGCCTCTGCTCCTGGCAACCAGCACCCCCTGGCCAGTCTCAGAGGTGCCATTCACTTGGAGAGCTTGTAACCAGGGCTGTTCCAACAAACAGCCACGTAAGCCTTTGGGAGGTAGAGACACGAGATGGCATCAGAGGAGGGAGGGAAGGAAAGAGGGAGGGAGGCCAGTGTTGCCCACGGCACCCCTGACCATCATTCAAGGCACCCCAGGGTGCCACGGCACACCTGTTGAAAGCCACAGGCTTAGAAAAATGGTCAGAAAGGGATAAAAGGTAAAGATACCCCTGACCATTAGGTCCAGTGGCAGATGACTCTGGGGTTGCGGCACTCATCTCGTTTATTGGCCAAGGGAGCTGGCATACAGCTTCCGGGTCATGTGGCCAGCAAGACTAAGCCGCTTCTGGTGAACCAGAGCAGCGCACGGAAACGGTGTTTACCTTCCTGCTGGAGTGGTACCTATTTATCTACTTGCACTTTGATGTGCTTTCTAACTGCTAGGTTGGCAGGAGCAGGGACTGAGCAACAGGAGCTCACCCCGTTGCGGGGATTCAAACCGCTGACCTACTGATTGGCAAGTCCTAGGCTCTGTGGTTTAATCCACAGCGCCACCCACGTCCCTTGAGAAAGGGATGGTGATCTATAAAAATAAGCATGCAGTTGAAATAAATAATTGAAGGTCTTATATATATATAAAATAAGTGTTCATAAATGTACCAAGCAAACACGTGCATAAATATATAAACCACATGTCTGAAGCAGCACAGGAAAACAGCCCTGAAACCATTTTGATTCCCAGGCTGACCAAATGTTTTCTCTGCAAGGAGGAAGGGGGTGGGGGAGCCTTCCCATTGACACAGGAATTGGGAAATCACCATCTCAAAGAAATGGCCAGACTGCCAGGAAGGGCAATCAGATCGGGCATTATCAGATAACCTGGCACACAGGAAAAACAACAACATTCAAATTTCTGTTGTAGACCACCTTTTCTGTGGTGTAGGTATGATGTTTGTGGGGGGTGGTCTTGGGTTACACCCCTTCTGTGATGTATGTATGATGTATGTAGGGGTGGTCTTGAGCTCCAGGGAAGGGAATTTAAAATGTCTATATAAGGCCTTGCGCACCATTGTTCTGGACCCACCTCCTTTCCTGTGTGTGAGGGGAGCACCCTGTTGCAACAGTTTCAATAAAGATCAGGCTTACTAGCTGCTTTGCTTCTCAATATTCTCTGGTTGGCCTCTGTTATTTCCTTCGACCGATGGAGAACCTACAAAGGACTCTGTAAGGGCTCTTGTGTCCCCCATAAGGGAATAAGGGCAGATTTTTGTTTATTGCACAATAGAGAAAGTAGATTCTCCATCTCTCATGCAACTATAACAGGGTCATTCAATGAAGAATGGCGAGAGGTCCACAATAGACCCAAAGTAGTGGTGCTGGCCTGACTTTCATTCAATGATGCTTTGCCCTGGCATGAAAATGTGTTCATGATTCCAGTCTTCTCCCTTCTGTCTTCCCCAAGGGTTGTGGAAAAGCCAGCAGCCTTTCAGCATCCTCAGAACTCAGTCCTTCCTATTGTCCCAGAAGACATCCCTTGAGGTGTATTTGGCCCAAAGAGACGAAGCAATAGCATTTCCCTCTGTTGCCTGAGATTACTTCAAGATTTTAAACTGAGATGGGGAAATGTTAGTGTTCTTATCTCGCCATAATGGGTATTGGTTCTTAGCACCTTTCATCTTCAAAGTGGCTGACAAAAACCCCCCCAGCTAATTAATCTTCTCGTTTCTTCCCGAGCTGCAAACTGTGCTCTTGCAGACCACCTCGGTAATGATAATTCCCTTTATAATTAAGATCCCTCTGAAGATGACAGTTGGCTATTTTAGGTAGGGTGTCACAAATGCTAATTTGATCTGATAAGAGGCGGAGCGCAAGAGATTGTAATCAATGCAACGGTAGAGTTTTCTCTCTTTTTTCCTCGACACTTCAAGATAGACACCCTGGCAGATTTCAGCAAAAAAGGAAAAAAAGGAATGTTCGTTCACCCAACACTTATCTGCTGTATCTAGACATCACTGAACTGATAGGAGTTTGTGCAAGTAGAAAAGGAAAATTAAAGTGGAGGTGCAGGTTATGAGTAGGGACTGCTCAAGATATTTTGATGTTGGAAGCTAAGGACAAGATGGTGCCCTCATTTTCCACCCATTCTGGGTTTTTTGTTGTTGGTTTTATATATATATATATATATTATTTATGACATTCAGTTGTATACATTTCAATAATTTTACAAAACTTGACTTCCTTCCTCCTCTTTCTGTGGTTCCTTAAATTAATTTTTAATATTTTCTGCATCTCCAAATAATTTTCTCATTTATTCATCTACTTTAAGTATATACTCTTATAAAATGGCAGGTTATTACAATAATCCTGCCAATGTTCTTATCTGTTTAAAGTTTGTTTGCAAATATTCCACAAACCATTTCCATTCGTTTGTTAAAAAGTTGATTTCTTATCTTTCCAGGTAGCATCGCCATTTCTGCATATTCCCTAAGTTTTTGTATCCATTCTTCCTTTGCTGGGATGACTTCTTCTTTCCATTTTGGGGCAAGTAACATTCTTGCCGCTGTAGTTGCATACGTGAATAAATTTCTATGCAGTTTGGGACAGAACAACCTAAATTGTATAGAAATTTATTCATGTATGCAACTACAGCGGCAAAAATGTTACTTGCCCCAAAATGGAAAGAAGCAGAAGTCCCAGTAAAAGAAGAATGGATACAAAAACTGGCAGAATATGCAGAAATGGTGACACGTACCGGAAGAATAAGAAATCAAGATAACAAGCGTTTAATAAAAGAATGAAAATCGTTTATTGAATATTTACGGATAAACTATAAACAGATAAAAACATTAGCAGGACTATTAGCTTCAATACTGGTTATCTTTGCTTCTTCCAGTACACTGGCATCAGTTTGCCTGTCTTCCCAAGTGATGTGTAAATTTTTTTGGAGACACCATTGATGGAATCTTTCAAGGAGCTGGAGATGGTATTTATAAGTGGTCGATGTTTCACAAGCATACAGTAAGGTTGGTAATACAATAGCTTTGTAAACAATCATTTTGGTTTCCCTGCAAATGTCCCAGTCCTCAGACATTCTGCGATGCTGGATTTCAGCATCAATGCCAGCCCTTGTGGAAAGATAACTGCCCAGGTAGGAGAAGTGATTGACATTTTCCAACGTTACACCATTGAGTTGGATTTGTGGTGCTGCAGAGGGGTTATTTTGTACTTGTTGGTGCAGCACTTTGGTTTTTTTGATCAACAGCCATATGCCCACATCAATCCTTCTTCTGAGGAAACTCAGAGAACTTCAGCTCTGAGGGCAGCAGGGTTTTCCAAACGACTCTCAGTACCATTAATATACTATAGTTCTCAGGATTCTTTTGTGGGGAAGCCATGACTAAAGTGGTATAATCAGTGCTATTTTGTAGGAAAAGAGGCACCAGAACTCACCACAAACGTCTCCCTTGTTCTTTTAGAATGGCAATGGTGCCCATCTGAGAGGTTCCAGAACTGTGTTCCGGTGAGTTCCGGCTCAAAAAAAAGTCCTGGGTATAATGGTATTTTAAATGTACAGTGAAAATGGGGCCTGAACCTTAACCAAGGCTGTAGCTCAGTCTGGAAAAGTACTAACTAGGGTTGCCATACATCCAGAATTTCTCAGACATAGT